ATAAAAGATAAAATTCACATCTATGCCAAGCACGTACTTTTTGATAGGTTAATGACATTACATTTTACTAATTCTTTATGAATTTATTATAAATTTAAGGGTGTTTAGACGATAAATCTAGTTTTAGATTTTCTTTGTCCGAAGGTACAGGTGCTGAAACACTTTGTCCATAAGGACAAACTCCCATAAAATGATCAAACTACCCATGTATATATATATGTATCATTTCCCAAATCAAACCCTAACAACCACATCTTTCTCTCTCTCTCTCTCTCTTTACTATGTTTGTTTCAATCACGAAACATATCACTACCTCAATCCCAGCACAGCGACAACTTCTCCACCGTCAGCTTTTTATCAGGGCTCAACATCCGCTACACCAACGATCTCGCTAACCGTAGATCTCGTTACCATCTACAGATCTTTCTTTCTTTCCCTCACTCCCCTTAGATTTATCGTCCAAAAACCACCATCACCATCGTCTTTTACTCTAAGCCGCCATTCACGATTTGCTATCTGAACTCAATTCAAAGGTTGCATCTAGGGTTTCGAGTTTGATTTGACCACATAGTTGAGTTGTGATCTTGATTCGATTGTTTTTGCCAAGATCTAAACTCAAACATACACATTCTTGATTTTTTTGGTTGCGATAGTAGTAGATGGAAAATCTAGGGTTTGAATAGAGAGAAGAGTCTACCGTATTGCTAGTGGAGGCGAGCCCAGTGATCTCAGCCTTGAAAATCAAGAACCTGTGTTTGTCCTCCTTGATTGCTTGCCAAACTTGCGCTCGGAGAGACTGAAGTAATGGTGATCTGTGATTTGAACATGTGTTTTGTGTTGACATTGCACCAACAACCTAGATTATGATGTCATCGTCGCTTGAATCGGCGACGACGGTGGCGAACGACATTGCAATGAGGAGAGAGAAAACAAGGAGGGCAGAGTAACGATGATTTATGTTGAAATTTCACGATCTGAATCAAGAATTTTGCAATATCTTGGATGTTTTCCCATTGAATGAGTTGGATCTTTGATTATTTTAATGGATCTTAGAATATTTGTGTGAAAGTTTGAGTGATGGATCTTGGAGTATCTATGTGATTTTTTTCCATTTAAGACAAAAATTTCAATATTTGTAGTTCTAGTTGCTCTTGGATGCATGAAAATCTCTACTGTGAAGATCAGATCACAAATCTTGCTCTCTTTCTCTCTTTCAACAATAACAAAAAATTAACAAAATAGATCGATCAGAGAGAGAGAGAGAGAGAAGATTTAAACAGATAGAATTTGGTTTGCCTTGGTATTTTAACAGATAAAAAAATTGAATAAAGATTTTTTTCAATAGATAGAGAAAGAAAATAAAAGTGGAGAGAAAAACAGATAGAGAGTAAAACATATAAAGAGAGAAAAAAGGGTTGGTGTCACGACCCAAACCCGCTCCTAAGGTTTAGCGTCGTAACTGGCCAATAATCCTTGGATTACCAAAGGCTTCTGAACAGAATTACAAAATATAAGGGGCTGCGGAAGCAAATATAAAACTTACATAGTCCATCGAGCTGTGTTGACACACATGTGATAGATAATTTTAAGCTTTATAAACACACTTGTGACGTCATAAAAAGACATTAGTCATACATTATTCCCATAGACAGATAAAACAAAAGTGGGACTTAGCCCAACGTATAATACCAAAAAGAAAACAAGTCTTAAAAGCTTGGACCACAAAAACTTGACTTTTTAAAGGGAACTTTCTCGGGAGGCATAGTGGTTGGCTGACCCAACTCTCCAGGCAACAGCTTAGGCCTGGTCACATGTCTGCTCACTTACATACATAATATAAATAGTGAGCGGAAGCCCAGTGAATAATAACTGAGTAAGGGGTTAAATAAATGATGTCCCGTAACTAATTCAGTAAATAGAAACAGATACATATGCACGTTCTTGTTCGAATCATAAATAGAAATCAGAGTTAATGCTTAATTATACATAGTACATCCATTAGCGCTAACACATCACATATAGAGCATTAAGGGTCATACTTGTCAGTTCCATATAGGAACCTCCGGCCGGGTACGGATAACTTGTCAGTTCTATAAAGGAACCTCCGGATCGAGAACATATAACTTGTCAGTTCCATAAAGGAACCTCCGGCCGGGTAGGGATGACTTGTTAGTTCCATAAAGGAACCTCTGGACCGAGAACAGATAACTTACTTGAGCCACGAAATTGTTGCCACGAATACTTGTCAGAAATTAGACAATCATTCATTGTACAGAATATATATATATCATGTTATAAAATAGATCTTATTCCATATACAGAAAATGAATAGAGTTTAACTTAGCTTTACTAAGTTATTACTCATAGATGGCTTCGAAAACAGATAGACAGAGTAGGCAAATCAGATATCTTGTGGTGCGTGACCTATACAATTACAGAACGAATATATACTGAATTACACACATGGAATCATTAACTTAGTTCGTTTTTATCTTGGTGTATTTCTGCTTCTTATCTTCATTATTATGTTTTAATCTTGTCTTAGGAGTGCCTAAGATGCAATGAGGATGCCAAAATGCTTTTGAAAACACTTAACAAAATTTGCTGAAAACAGGGGTCGAGTGCAACTTCTTTTGCTCGAGCGGACATGCAAAAATGTGAGAGGTCACTCGAGCGGTCTGCAAATTCTGCAAAAGTACTGGTTGTTTGGTTTTTTCACTCGATGCGCGCTCGAGTGTGAGACTCAAGTTTTTGCTCGAGCGAACTCTTGTCACTCGAGCGGTCTGCAAAAATAGAAAACTTCTGGGAGTATGCATTTTACGCTCGAGCCAACTATTTATTGCTCGAGCGGGAGTGCAAAAACATAAAGTGGTCGCTCGAGCACAGAATTTTTTGCTCGAACGGAGAGCAGAATTCTAGAATTTTCAGATTGCTCTTCTCAACTCAACACTCAAATTCAAACCAACGAAACACATTCTCTTGGGCCTAAAACTTGAGGAAACACATGCAAACTTGTAAAATATGATGAATCAAGGATCATTTCATGAAATTATGGCTCAAAAGCTTGCCAATTGCCCAAAATTCAACTTGAAGCTTACGAATATGATATGGACATGGCATGCATGAATTGTTATAACCTTAAACTTTTCAAAACATGATCAATTAAGGTCAAATGGTAAGAAATGTGATGCAAACTCAAAACAAAGTCAAGGTAGATACATGCATGTGAGATTTGTTTGAAATTCAAACTCCAAATGTGATGAAAATGCATGCATGCATGGAATTCATCTTCTTAAGCTCAATTCTCATCTTAATTCACCCATCACACTTGATTTCATGTAATAACTAACTAAATTACAAACTAGGAGGTAGAATTTCTTACCTTAGATGCTTAATTGTGTCCTGGATGTCCAAATGGTTGAGTCCCTTAATTCAGTACCTTGAATTTCTAATAATTCTCTTTTTTTTTTTCCTTGTTAATCTCACTTGCTCTCTTGGTCTCTCTCTCTCTCTCTCTCTCTCTCTCTCTCTCCACATTTGAGTCCAAAAGATAAGAAGTGAAAGTGTAACTAATAGCCTTAAGTCATCAACTTGCCTTATTTAGGCTTAGCTTAAGAAGTTTAATTAACAACTAATTAATTGGCATTATTATATTCTAATAATTTGGTTCCGAATCAAATTTTAATTAAACCTACCATAATGTACTAAAAATTCCAACTAACAAATAATTCAAGTCAATTTCGTGATCAGATGTCGATATGGCCTTTAATTCACAAACCGAAACAGAAACACAAACAGATATTTCTACGAGACAGATAGAAATACAAATAATGAAATGCACATGTAATTAACTCAAGATTTCATCTTAATTACTTATTAGGCATACTTGATCATGACTTAACAATTAATTATGGGTCGGGGTTGTTACCGTTGGAGAGAGAAACAAATAAAGAGAAAGTTTGAAAATTGTATGAATTTGAACAGACAGAAAAAATAAATTATAAAATTCAACAGATATGTTAAAAAAATTCAACAGATATATATATTTTTTTGAACAGATAGACAAAAAATTTGAATAGATAGAAAACAAATTTGAACAAATAGATATAAATTTGAACATATTGTCAACGAAAAGTCTGACTTCTCACCAATAAAAAAATATCCACTAAATGTCTTATACCTTCCTTACCTTGAACTTATCAATGATTTTCTCTAAATTTAATTATGGCTTTCATCTTTTTAAGATTTCTCCATTGGACAAAACTCCTCTCATTAGGAAATCTCTTTCCATAACCATTCTAACAAACCCTCATTCGGGCTATCTTTCTCCAGCAACAATTCTCTCCCTTCTAGATAAAATGGCAACTTGGCAGTCATGGAGCAAGACATATTAACTTTGTAATTTAAGAAATGATAATATTAATAAAATTATAAATAATGCGATATATTATAAATAAATATTTATTACTTAAAATTTAGATTTTTTCATAATTTATGTAAAAATTTGTAAAATAAATTGATTAGATTATTAAAGTAAAATCTATATCCACAAACTCTATTACTAATTTTTTTTAATCATTCAACATAAGAATAAATTTTACTTTTACGTATAAAACAAAAGAAGAGAGAATCACTTTACACCGATCAAAAGAATAAGGCGGCATTTAAAAATAAGCCATTTTAGTAAATATCAAAAATATCACTACAAATTGTAATGTTTTTTTTTTTTTTCTACATATTTGTTATAAAAAAATCAAAAAATTAATTAAAATAATTAATTTCCAAAAAGCACCTCTAAGTTGAGTTATATGCAAGTGGCAAACAGTATAAAACAATGACATAGTAAATTCTATTTCCACACACCTATTTACCTCAGTGCACACATTTAATGAAATTTTAATTTAATGACAATTATACATTAAAATAAAATGACTATAATGGACATCAAAACTCACACCAACCCATCTCATTTCTTTCTCTTTCATTGCCTCATTTCCCACCACTCAGTGAAAGATTATTCAATTTCTTCCCAATTTCAACTGATCGATCATTTGGAATTTTCTTCTCCCAAACCATACCATTCACTTCCATTTTTTTCCACTCCACTAGAACTCGCTCGTAAACCCCTCATTTCTACGGTCTGTTTCAGTCAAAACCACCGAAGTATTCTTCTCCTCCTCCGACTCATGTTCCATATCACCGGTTAGGTTTTTCTCCGCTTTAAGTATCTCCTTCTTCTTCAAATTGCCAATCTTCCATTTTTCATTGTCAACCATGATCACTCCGTCTTGCAATTTCTCTGACTGATTGCAGGGAGACAAATTGTTCATATTCTCTTTCTGTTTCTTACGAATCTCTTCTTCACAATTTCGTTCTCCCTTTTCCTTGTCTCTCCGCATTCGCTCTTCTTCTTCTTCTTTTTCTTCTTCTTCATGAAGATACCTTGCTAGAATGATGTTCAAAGCAAGACCAATAGCAATTACATTAACCACAAAGAAAAACAGTTAGGTTTTCTAGAATTACTTTACTAGAATTATTGTTCAACCATATCAAGCACACACCCATGTGTGTATACATTATACATATACATACATGGCTTAGAAAAGCAAAACCTAGAAACAGAATTCAATCACAGATGTTAATTCAATAAAGAAAATCGAAGAAAAATGATAGAATTTAGAATCAGTGATGAGATCAGTGAGTTGATCAAATTGGTGAATTCATAATCAGTGATGAGATCAGAATCGTTGAATTCAGAATCAGCGACTATGTGAGTTTAGGTGGAAAATATGTGTACAATATTTAAGTTAAAGTTATAATTGGAATACGTGATGTGTAGAATGAGACAAATAACACCTAATCAAATTCATAAGGGTGTGCACCGAGAAATGATGTGCACTGAGGTAAGTAGATGTGTGGAAATAGAATTTTTCGAATGACCTGTATTCTCACCCAATTAATTTCCCTTTTATTTAGGAAAAATTACAAGTTTTTAGAAAAATATTTACACAATCATGAAAAAAATTATGATTTAATATTTTAATACTAATAAAATTTATCATTAGCACTCTGTTTGTTTGGGTAAAAATATTTTCTAATGAAAAATATTTTTTACGATTTTTTTTTAGAAAATATTTTTCTATGTTTAGTGGTGATGGTGGTGGAACGAAAGTAGAAATAGAGGGGGAGGTAGTGGCATGGTGGTGGGGCGACTGCGGCGATGATGGCGATAGTAGTCGTGGTGATGGTGGTATGGTGGTGGAGGTAAAAGTGGTGGTAATGGTGTATTGATATAACTAAAATTTTAGTTCGAAAAATATTTTTCGTTTTTCAAAATTAAGGGTGAATTACAAATACAGTCCCTGAGGTTTGCTTAAAGTATAGAATACCCCTTGTGGTTTGGAAAATTACAAACATCCATTGTTAAAATTTTTATTTACCAGAACTAATTAAAAAAAATAAAATTCATAATTGCTCTCCTATACAATAATAAAATTACTTAAATTGTTAATTGAAACATATTTCCAACATCATTAAAAATTGTTAATTAATTTGATGAGTTATTAATAAAATGGACGATTTGTTATGAAATTAGAAATCTTAGAAAGTGGAATATAATTTTCAAAATTAGAGGGGCGATTTGTATTTTAATCAAATCTCAAGAGGTGTATTTGTAATTTATCCTAAAATTAAAAAACATTTTTTTGTCCAAATATGTATATTTGTTCTATTGATCATAAAAAAATATTTTTTTTTGTTAACTTTCATTCTATTATATCAAATATCAAAAAATATTTTTTTAAAAGTAATTTTAATCCAAACAAACAGTATAACATGTAATTAGTTTTTAAAACTTGGACTGAATAAATAATTCCCGTTTTATTTATTCACCAGGGGGACCCTTCTCCTATTATTGTCTCGGCGCGTGTAACTGATTAATGTAACTACCGAGTGAGTGTTGATTCTAGGGTAGGGTTGGGTTGGAGCTCCGGTGAAGAAGTGAGAGGAATGGCTAGTAGAGCTGTTCCGTCACTGCAGAGCTTGAACAGTTGGGACTCTATTTCGTACCTGTCTCAGCGAGAAGCAGCCGAGATCGATGACATCCTCATGGGTCCTCTTGGCTTCAGTGTCGTTCAGTTAATGGTTAGTTAGTTTTCAATTTTAATACTCAGCTCTGTTTCTTAAGCTATCCGATAATAATCACTGAATTGTTATTAAAGACGCTTGGTGTCATGGTATTTGTCGGAATTGGCCGGTTTGAGTGTTGCTACTGCAATTGCCGAGGTAAGTTTTAAACATTTTTTGGGTTTCCTTCCTCTCAAATTGAATTAATTGCTATGATGGGTATTTGATATAAAAAGTCCTAGAGGTCTAAAAAATTCTACCAAAAGTTTTACTAAATGTCTTACATGGGTGTGGGACTCACATTGTATAGGTCCCATGGTAAAACTTTTCGTAGAATATTTGGGGTCTTTAGCATTACTCATTTGATATTAAAGATGTAAATAAATTAGGAATTATGTTTAAAAAAAAGTTAGAAATTAGATTATAAAGGGAATTTGTATTAATTATTGACGTGGGTAAGCCCATAAAGGCCATAGCCCACTATGAACAACCCAAGCCCATCACTTAGAGCCTAATACACAACCCAGCTAGTGAAGTCCAAAACAACTGGAATCCAACGTGGCATAAAGAGCCAATGCCATTCAGACATACGGCAGGTAAAGGATAAACCATATCAGCAGATAAAGATCTGCAAAGTTATTGCCACTGCACATCACCATTAATGCAGCCCATCACAGTATTTATTACGACAACACCTCTCTGTCAGAACAACACCCATTTACCCTGAACAAGGTAAGCTACAGCATAGACTTTCGGCCAAGATGGCAGGTCGGAAGGGACATTGAAATGATGACCAAAGGATATAAGCAAATGTTGAAGGCAAGAAGAAGGTTAAGTTTTTCTATCTCCAATTCATATCTCTACTTACACTTCTCTTTCTCTAACTTGCTCGTCGGAGGGTTTGTTGGGGGACTCCCTGTTCCCCTGTTGAACTTGTGTGCAGGTTCTCTGGTGGGCCTGAACACCCAGTTACCGGTTGAAGAGGCGTGGATTAGTCCGACCCATTCCAACTAGGACCCGTTGTGTAGTAACTGTATCATCAGTTGGCGTCGTCTGTGGGAAAGCTTTGCTCCTCGCGCCAGTTGTGTTCACTGTCGCCGGAGACCCCATTCTAATAACCCTTTCTCGCTACCCATCGAAGTGTATGGTCACGACTAGATCCATGGCTTCTCACCAAAATGCTGCCGACCACTAAGCCGACCCCCCCAATCCAAACAACCCACCACAATATTTCATTGAGCTTACCAATAGTATTAACTGCATGGCCGAGCAAAACCAAGCCCTGATCAATGCCTTACTCCAAAGAAACCTTCCCATGCCCCCTCCACCACCTCCCGATATTCCTCCCACCTACGAACAAGCCCCAAGCCATACTATTCAGCAGCCTAATCCGCCCAACAGAGAAGGCTTGCAACCCCCTCTCCCAGGTATACACCTACCACCCCGGGGCCCACAACCATCGATCCCGTCGCCAATCCTTGAAGGAGAGGCTAGCAGTGTCCAGCCCCCGTTGCCCTCCGGAGGTGACCACATCCCTCTCTGGGACGCGGAACTCCGAGCCATGAAGCTCCAACTCCAGGGGGTCATGCAGAACATCTAGCATAAACCTTCTACCACAGCAAACTCACCATTTGTCGCCTCCATCCGCGACAAACCTCTACCCTCCAAGTTCAAGATGCTCACCATCGACTCTTTTGACGATACGACGGACCCAGTCGACTATCTGGAGACCTACAGAACCCTCATGATCCTCCATGCATTCCTTGACGAGATCATGTGTCGAGCTTTCCCCGTAACGCTGAAAGGGTCAGCTCGGCTGTGGTTTAGCCAGTTACCAGCAGACTCCGTCTCTACTTTCCAGCATCTTAGTGACTCATTCCTCAGCCATTTTATTGCAGTCCAGCGCCAGCGACGCCCAGCAACCCAACTCCTCAACATTCAATAGACCGAGGGGGAGTCGCTACGCAGTTTTGTTACCTGCTTCAACATCGAGGCCCTACAAGTTGCGGAAAATGATGACAAGGTCATCCTCACTACTTTCATGGCCGGTCTGTGGTCGTCCGACTTCCTATTCTCCCTCTCTAAAAACCCCCCAACCTTCATGGCAGCCTTACTCTCCAAAGCCCAAAAATACATGAACGCCGAGGATTCCCTAGCCGCCCGGCAAGATCCCATAACCAAAAACCCGACCTGTAGAGAAAAGAGAAAAGACTCAGAACCCAGAAACACACAGTATAATAGCCAACACGACACTATACCGACCGGCCCTCTCGAGCTGACCGGTTGGCACAAGCCCGACCGCCCAGTCGGTTTGAGCAGTACACACCCCATAACTCTCCCATGGAACAAGTCCTCAATCAGATCTAGCAGGACTACCCCCTCAAATGGCCCCAACCGTCACGAACCTCCTCCAATCGGAAAGACCAGTCTAAATATTGCCGTTTCCACCAGGACCATGGCCATAACACCGATGAGTGCGTTAACCTCAAAGATCAGGTCGAGACCCTCATATGCTAGGGGCGTCTTAGCCGGTTCACGGACACCCACCCTCAGCAAAGGCAAAGAATTGAGCCCCTCAGAAACAACCGCCGGCGCACCCCCCGGCAGCCAGCCCAACCTAACCAAGGCCATGATCGCCCTCCACAGCAACCTCGGCCGCCAGGCAACCCTCCTCCACCTGTTGGAGAGATCAGAGTTATTTTAGGCGGCCTTGCTTGCGGGGGACCATCCCGCTCGGCTTAGAGGGCAGAACTCAGGAAGATAAGGCAGGGCTCAAACAAAGCAGTTGCCACGGTCGATCGACCCTCCAAACAGCCCAAGCAGTGGACCGAGCCTATCACCTTCACGGACGCCGACTGTATAGGCATCCGCTACCCTCATGATGACCCTTTCGTCATTTCTGCCCTCTTCTCCAACTACAAGGTCAGAAGAGTTTTCATCGACAACGGCAGTTCTTCAGACATCATCTTTCTCAACTGCTTTCGCCAGCTCAAAATTGGGGAGGAAAGTCTGTCTCCTCTCCAAACCCCTTTGGTCGGTTTCACTGGTGACTGGGTCACCTCCATCGGCTCCATTGATCTTCCCATCACAATTGGCGAGTACCTACGGTAGACTACAAAGTTGCTCACCTTCCTTGTCGTCGACTACCCATCCACCTACAACATCATCCTTGGCCGCACTGCCTTAAATACCTTCCAAGCTATCACATCAACTTATCACGTTGCCGTTAAGTTTCCTACCGATCTGGGGGTCGGGACTGTAAAGGGAGAGCAGACCGTGGCCAGTGAATGCTATGTTGTCTCACTAAAAGAAGTCAAGCTGAAGGAAGCCATGATCATTGAAGGACTTGACATCCGAGATGAGGACGAGTTGGTCAGAGGAGAACTTGTGAAGGAGCTCGTGGAGGTTCCCATCGACCCCACTAACCCAACGAAAACTGCCAAAATGGGCAGCCATCTATCCCCCCAAGCAAAGGCCGACCTTACTGCCCTCCTGACCGAGCACAATGATGTCTTTGCCTGGACCCATTCAGACATGCCGGGTATTGACCCCTCCTTCATAACCCATCGCCTCAGCATTGAACCCCATTCCGACCTTACCGCCAGAAGCAGCGCATCTTTCATCCTGAGCGCAATACTCTTATTGCCGCAGAGGTTGACAAGCTCCTTAAGGCCCAATTCATCAAGAACGTGGACTACCCTAGATGGTTGTCAAACGTGGTCCTGGTTCACAAGAACAATGGTAAATGGTGACTTTGTGTCGACTACTCAGACCTCAACCGCGCTTGCCCCAAAGACAGTTATCCTCTTCCCTACATAGATCTGCTGGTCGACGGCACGGCCGGTCACCAAATGCTCAGCTTCATGGATGCCTTCTCTGGGTATAACCAAATTCTGATGCATCCATCTGATCGGGAACATATCTTCTTTATTACCGACCGAGGCACCTACCATTACCAAGTGATACCATTCAGACTGAAAAATGCTGGGGCCACCTACCAACGGTTGGTCAACGTCGTTTTCCATCATCAGATCGGTCGGAACATGGAAGTATATGTCGATGACATGCTAGTCAAGAGCAAACTCTCCGCTGACCATCTGACTGACCTGCGAGAAACCTTCGCCACCCTACGGAAGTACCAGATGAAGCTCAATCCGGAGAAATGCGCCTTCGGCGTAGGATCTGGGAAGTTCTTGGGCTTCATAGTCAGTCAGCGGGGCATCGAAGCTAACCCTGAAAAGATCAAAGCCTTGATTGAAATGCAGTCACCTAGAACAGTTAAGGAAGTTTAAAGACTCACTGGCCGAGTTGCCGCCCTTAACTGCTTCATTTCCCGCGCAACGGATAAGTGCTTCCCCTTCTTCAGAGCTCTTCGGTAAACTTTTGAATGGACAATCGAGTCCGAAGAGGCCTTTCAGCAGTTGAAGCAGTGCATGGCCAACCCCCCCTCCTTTCTCAGGCAATCACTGGCGAACCCCTCTTCCTCTACTTAGCCGTTTCAAGCACCGCAGTCAGTGCAGCTCTTATCAGGGAAGACGACTTTGTTCAACAGCTGGTCTACTACATCAATCGGGCCCTTAGGGGCGCCGAACAGAATTACCCATTGTTAGAAAAATTGTCCTTGGCCCTGGTCACTGCCTCCAGACGACTCCGTCCTTACTTCCAAACCCATTCCATAGTGGTCCTCACTGACCAATCTTTGAAGAAGGTAATGCAGCAACCAGAGCTCTCTGGCAGACTCATGCAATGGTCGGTGGAACTCAGCCAGTTTGACATCTCCTACCGACCTCGAACAGCAATTAAAGGGCAGGCTGTCGCCGATTTCATCCTGGAGTTCACTAATCCTACCCCCAACCACGGCCACTCCACCCCCACCAACCCCTACCGAGCCAGAGGACCCTCATTCTTGGACTCTCAATGTCGACGGATCATCCCGCAGAGAAAGCAGTGGGGCTGGCCTCATCCTCACCGCCTCTGAGGGTGGTTATTTCAAATATGCTCTCCGTTTCTTGTTCGAT